GATATCCTTCCACTTTTTTGTGTCATTTTCAATTTCTTTTTTTATCTTCTCGTAGTGTTTCCTTGTAGAGGTCTTTAACTTCTTTGGTTAGATTTATCCCTAAGTATCTTATACTTTTTGTGGCTATGGTAAATGGAATAACTTTTTTCAGTTCTATCTCAGTCTGACCGTTGTTTGTATATAGAAATACTATTGATTTATGTTTGTTGATTTTGTTTCCTGCAACTTTACTGTATTCATGTATTACTTCCAGAAATTTTTTCATGGAAACCTTTGGGTCTTCTATGTATACAATCATGTCATCTGCAAAGAGAGTTTCACCTCTTCTTTTCCTATTTGAATGCCTTTTATTTTTTCCTCTTTTCTGACTGCATTGGCAAGGACTTCCAGTACTATATTGAAAAGGAGTGGAGAAAGTGGGCATCCTTATCTTGTACCCATTTTTAGTGGAAAAGCTTCCAGCTTTTCTCTATTGAGGGCGATGTTCACTATGGATTTTTCATAGATAGCTTTTACTGTGTTGAGAAATGACCCTTCTATGCTGATTTTGCTGAGAGTCTTGATCATGAAGGGATGTTGTATCTTATCAAATGCTTTTTCTGCATCATATGATGATATGATCATATGGTTTTTATCTTTCTTCCTGTTAGTATGGTGTATTACATTTTTCTAGCCACTCTGTAACCTTCACTAGTGAGGTAGTACACAAAGGACAGTAACTTAATGGTGATGAGAAAGTCAGTATAGGAGAAAAAGAGAAAAAGCAATACAGATATATTTAGAATAGTAAAGTAATACAAGTTAAGATGCTGATTCCAGGGACCAGCAGTTGTCATAATGGCTATGTTGCTGAACTCCCATGTAGTTGACTGCTGTTCGAGTCCTAGGCCCAGTGGCTTAAATTCACACTGAGCGCATGTGCGTGTGTCTCAAGATCCAAAGAGAAGAATGGAGGAGAAGGGATTGTGGTGGGGCCATCCCCCTGCGGGACGATTTCTCACTTTCTGTCTCTTTCTGTCTTCCTGGCTAGCGCATGTGCCCTAAAGCAAAAACCTCTCAAAAAAAAAAAAAGATGCTGATTCCATGTAGTGCCACTCTAATCCTTATTCTTAGAATCTGCCACACTAGTTTTATTGGCTGTGTGGGTGAAAGCTCATGCATGAAATCAAAAACACTGGCTCGGTCTAGAATAGAAAAGAATGAGGAGGACTTAAAACCAGATGATGAGACCATTTCCATGCCAAAACCAATTAGGATTCTAAGATTTCAGCTAGAGCTGTTTTGTTGCAA